AGAGTGTGTGTGTGTGTGTGTGTGTGTGTGTGTGTGTGTGTGTGTGTGTGTGTGTGTGTGTGTGTGTGTGTGTGTGTGTGTGTCTGCGTGTGTGTGTGTCTGCGTGTGTGTGTGTCTGCGTGTGTGTGTGTCTGCGTGTGTGTGTGTCTGCGTGTGTGTGTGTCTGCGTGTGTGTGTGTCTGCGTGTGTGTGTGTCTGTGTGTGTGTGCGTGTGTGCGTGTGCATGTGTGCGTGTGTGTGCGTGTGTGTGTGTGTGTGTGTGTGTGTGTGTGTGTGTGTGTGTGTGTGTGTGTGTGTGTGTGCGTGTGCATGTGTCGTGAAGGGGTTAAGACACATCTTACAGCCATAAGTCATATTTATAATGAGGGTGGTTTACCACCCATCACTGAATCCTGGGCGCATGACTATCACATCATGAAAAGATTTGGCTGTGGGCCAATTGATGTGACTATGCTACCATGGAAAAATTTGGCTGAGGGCCGGGGTGACAAGACTATGCCATCATGAAAAATTTGGCTGAAGGTTTGGGGTGACTTTCTGTGAGTACACAAAGCTCTTGCAGAAAGATTAGACTTAATGGGCATTTAACCTTAGATAACGGTATTAGAAATCTCTTGGCGTCACTGACTCCAGTGATTTCTGGCAACCGTCCTGCCGTTAGGAGTGGGAGCCTACTACACGTAGCAGCCTTCCCGCTCAATGCACTCTAGCGTACCCAGCAGATCAAGCGGTTTGTTATGACAGCTAGGCACGTGGCCCTGTACTAAGGGGTCAAGTAGGGGTTCTTGCATTATCTCTACTGGTGGTCAAGTTTGAAATGTACCATTCATGAGCCATGGTTGGAAGAGTGCCAACTCAGGGGAGAACACTATTTCCTATGCTCAGGATCATATTCTTGGCCACCACAATTCCTGGTACTAGGCAGATTACAGATAACTAAATAATAGGAAAATATAAAAAATACACAAACAAGAAAATATATACTGTTACTATTATTGAAGAGTTGAAGAGATAATATGGAGTCTGTGCAAGCAAAACAGCCTATTACCATATTGATACATCATATCAAATTACAAATATAGACCTTGGAAAATAAAAAAAAGGTAAAAAATGTTTACGTAGAGAAAGAGGCAAAGGAGGCAAGGAGTATTGACAGCACACACAAGTGTTTGTGTGGGCCAGGCCTACAAGCCACACACCTGGGAGTCACCACTTGCGTAAGACTAATGCCTTAATTATGGTCCACATGTAGTCACCTAGGCACCTCCATCCAACAGGTTAACAAGCACATTTGGCCTTTTCTTCATTTGATAAAAGATTTCCAGATTTACAAGAAATCAGTGATAGAAAACAAACCTCTCCAAAATCTTGGATACTTTCAGCAAGAGCTATCCTGCATAAACCTTTATTCATGACTTTAAAGCAGCATGTTCCTAGATCTCTACTGTTTAGTCTCTGGACACCCTGCGTAAGATGCCAGAAGTCAGCAGTGACAGGTGCTTGCTCATGTGAAAAGATGAAGAAGGAAAAAAAAGACCACTGGTCTACTCGGTGGTTAAGCAGACAGAACTGGACACAATTGAGCAGGCTTAACTTGTACAGAAATATAAAGACTAATCATCAGAAATCTGCCATTGCCAACCGGGCAAACTTACTTGTCCCATTCAACTGCCAAGTGGTAAAGACTGTACTTGATCGCTTCTGCCGACTTTGGTATGATAAGCGTATTGTCGGTAAGGTCCAAAATCTTCTTCATGATACAGAGCTGTTCAGTTGACATGGCGGCTAGACTTTCCTCGCATCTGAAAAATATATTATTAACTACATTATTTATCGGCCAACATGTTTATTAATACTAACATCTTAGAACAGGCAATCCTAAATACACTAAATAACAGCAAATATTAGCATAGTCCTTGGGTAGTCTAGCAAGCTCTGTGCCCCCTTGGATGTGGAATGATGTCTGTATCCCTTTCTCATTTACATAATGTCTTAAATTCTAGATAATGTCTCACCAGCTAAAGTCTTATGCCACTTTAAGTCTTGAAAATGCAAGATACTATACACCACTAAACTGCACTTCTAGATAATAATATGCACCAAGAAATGTACCAAGTGCACTCTAGACAAATGCTCAACCTCTATTCTGCAACTTCCCCTTAACTTGCTGACCCAAACTTTTGAAGGGAGAAGTATCACATCAAAATTGACTGTCTTACTATACTCCAAGTTGATCCCATATCCATGTGGCCATAGGGGACATGTTCATAAAGAAACATGATTACTGATCTGCAGCAACATACAGGAAAGTGGACAGTTCCTCTCTGCCCCAACTTTGAGCCCAGCATGCTGGCGTCAGCATACCAGTGTTCATTCACAGCTGAGTCAACTAAGAGAGGTGACTAGGCTTGAAACCAAGACCTTGCAATTGCAAATGATATACTGTACTGTACTACAAATGATATAATGCATTTAGTATATCCATTCAATTTTTACATTT